GAAAGTACAGCTATTGCTTGCTAAGGCGTCTACTCCTCGAACATAAAGAAATATCATTAAAAATAATGTAATAACGTACAACAGCTAAGGCTCGTTGTGGCGTTACGCGATAGCGTGTCTTTCGTCGCGCTTACAAGACGGCTTACGGAGGACTGTGCTCCGGAATGAATTGCACCGCATTAGAACCACCGTTGAAAAACAGTCATTCGCATCCGGGAGTGCCGAAATTTATATTGATAACAATATTAAATTTCAGATTTTTCCACAGAGAAAACCGTATTGCAAAGATTGCAGGTTTTCTATATGGCTAATCAAAGAGAATTCGCTGTAGAGCAATGCTCTCGAACGCAACGCAGAGAAGAAATCGCGCAGAAAGCGCACTTAACACCATTTGATATACATGGAAGATATACGTTCGCGGCGATTTTCATATCTCATCTTTGAATAAAACAGCGGTCAAAGACATTCGCGGTAACATACATTTGCGCTCAGCAAGAAATATGACATTTTAACATTACTTTCAATGTCCGGAAACGTTTTCCAAGTTTCATATCTTACTGGCGCTAAGTTGCTTTCCATGCGCGTTCATATCTGTCTCAGTGTGCTATCTCTCTCGATATATAATTCAGCCTATATCCTTAACGTGTTATTAAAAATCTATCTGTGTATATACAAACAATGTGTGCACACGTGCGCGTTTTGTGTGTGCCATGCCGAAGATTGCGTCGGTACCGAGAGAGTTTATGTTCGGTGGAGAACAGCATGCAAGCATGTATCTCCATGACGCTTCGGCACTGCGCGAAGTGCTTCAACGTATTTCAGGCAATTCAGGCCGTGGGCAAGGTTGGGCCGAACGACGCGAAGGACAAGGAGTCACCAAAGACATCAGCAGCTTGACTCATAATTGCGCGTACAAGATCATTAACAGTGTCGACATATAAATTTCGAAAGTTCAAATTAGAACTTTACTATACATTTGCAATTAGATTTGTAATGATTTAATCAGGAGTGGTTTTAAAAAAAACATGTTTTAAACGTGTTTTAAACAGTTTAGGATTGTAACGTTACTTGAACTTTTTTAAGTGAAACTTAAAACTCTCTCTCTATCTTGTTTTAAAAATAAAAAAAGAGTCAGAGACAGAAAAAATTTTAAGTTTCACTTAAAATCAAAGTAATGTTGGTGCAAACCTAAAACATGTTTAATTGATGTTTTTAATATGCTTTAAATATATTTTTTTATAATACTATTTAAAGCATATTTTTTAAGCATTAAAAATATATTTAAGAAAAAACACAATGTTTTATTCTTAAAAAAAAAAAATTAGTCTTTACCAACCCTGCGATTTATTAAAAAAAGTTTTACGAAAAAAATAAATTTAATATATAAAATAAAAGAAAAAATGGAGAAAAGGAGAAAAAAAGATATTATTCCATGAAAAAAAAACTTGTTATAAAGAAAAGCATCTTCTTATATTACAAAGGAAAAGGATTAAAAACTATATATATGAGTTGGTTGAAATACGTCGTGTCTCAGTGTCATCAGCCAACTAAACTTAACTTTAAATATTGAATTGATATTATCGCATATAAATAGATTAAGCGTGGCAATTAAAGAACGAAGCCTTGTTTGCCAACATAAAATCGCACTGCAAAGATCGATTCTTAATTTTGCAATATCATCGTTATTAAAACGACAAATGATATAAAAAAATGATATAAAAAAATTTATTCATGATTCTGTATATATAAGTCGTTGAATTAATAAAACACTCACTAAAATTCTCACTAAAATTATTGCTAAACCAATTAAAGAGCGGTGTACATTCACTGTGTTATTAGGTATCTCATGTGGCTGCTCGTTCAACATTGAGTCAGTGCTGTAAGTAGATTATTACCAGCATGAGTCAGACTTGCAAGCAATATGTGATATGACCGAAATACCGTGCATACATTATGACGGTATCGTCTATCATACACATTACTTAATATCATCTATTTATTGATAACTAAATTTAATTTGAATCTTTAAAGTAGCAACAAATTAAGATTAAATAATAAAACTTTCAATTACAATTCCGATATTAAGTTGAAAATGTTAGTCACAATCAATTATATTTTCTAATCTTACTAACATTGTAACAACAGATGTTATTTTTGTTATATTCCATTTCGAAATTTCATTTTTTGTTAACTCTTGTCGTCAATCAATTGAAATTTGAATATTTCTAAATTTTTTTTGCACGTTCTTTTAAAATTTCTGTTGCGAGTCTAATATCAATAGATGAATAATGGAACCACACGGTCCAATATACAATTTAGCCCATCTGTTTGCCCACGGTAAAAAAATTCTTCGGAGTACTTAACGTATCGGCATGCGTTTGATCACGCGTTTTCCATCTACGAGCGCACGAGGGTAAGACCAACGCGAGATTCACCATGTGATTCCTCATCAAGCGATTCTGTGTATCGTGAAGCTGACATCACGTCGCTGTTGGCGTCCTGCAGCATCGTTGGCTCGAGATATAATACCGTCGTCTAAGTTTCTAGACCTGGCACGAGGCTGTGGAAGGTCTGTATGTCATGGAAGGCGCGGCCGCAACTCTGATTGTTGTTACGCTCAAACTTGGTAAGATCGAAATGCTCATCCAAAGACTGCAGCTCGGCCAGGCGTTCTTCCAGCGTCTTCGCCGAGTCGGCGAATCTAGAAAAGTCACAAAGCCGATCGGGATCGACTACGTCGGCCACCTCCATCATATCAGTTCCTGGTCTCGAGAGTTGTACGCTCGTGTCGTCGAGATCTCCGACGACGGGGAAAAGCACGGAATGGCAGCTTGTCGCGCTGTCGACTCCAATGCCGTTAGTCGTTGTGGAGGTGCTACTTGTACTGATGATCGTGCCGTTCGATCGCACGTCAGCCACGCCGCTCAAGCGATCCTCCGGAAAGCCCAGAGGGTGATTGCCGTTATGATGTGACACCACTGCTTCTGGCTGAATTTCATCGATATGCGAGAGCAAACGTGGCGTCGGTGGCAAGATGTAGAAGTCACTGAATACGTCGTCTTGCAAATCCAAGTCATCGTGCCTATGCCGCTTGGAATTGAGTTCGTCGTTTCTCGAATCGTCAGCCAACCTACGTTTCATCACAAATAATATCGACATGATTAGTTTGCAAAAATTGCACTTATTCTATGATAAAAATTCGAAACAAAAAGCTATGCTTTAATAGAAAATTCACACATAAGTATGGATCTAACTTCATGCAGTATCTATATATAATTCTTAATATTAACATCAACATGATGTGAATTTAACACCATGAATTTTAAAGTGTGACACATCAACGGTTATAAATCCATATCATAATTGATGTCACGTTGATGTTAATATTAGCACCAACACGATGAGAATTACATAGATTACCAATGTAATTAAATTTACACTGATATTTTTTAGAGTGCATGCAAAAGAGAGTCCCAAGTTATAATTAAAATTCTATTAAAGTAAAATTTATGCGAAATTATTATATTTGGCCAATGTCATACCTTTTCCTAGAAGAAGTTTCTTCGTCCGTTACGTCGGCGATGAGATTCCCGGCGATGTTATTTTCCTTACTAACGTCGTCCATGTATGACGCCACTACTGGAAGTGTACCGTAACTTCGTGTCTTCTCGTCCCGATTTTCACGCTGCAGCCGTCGTACCGCGTTATTTATGAGAACCGATCGGCACAGGCTCGCTTCAGGGTCCTCGATCCTCCTCAGCTTGCCGGCGGAAATCTTGAGCAGACGGCGACGTTCCTCGCGGGCGCGATATTTGGCGGAGATCATCGTGGGTCGGCTCCTGCGGATCACCAGATCCTCTTCTAATCTCATTTTAGAATCTGTAAAATCAAAAGTTATTTTTATTACTATTCTTATAATTATATTATCCATTAAAGCTAGGCTCGAGGTCTTGTGTTTTGTTGTACATTTCCAAATACATGTATCTTTACATATCACGAAAACGATATTTTCTCGCGACGACAAAATCAAGTACAAAGTGCAATGTGAAACGCTACTTTATGATAAGAGTACTATACTTTTTTTTATGTATGAAAGAAGTAGATGGAACTCATGAATTTTTATCGCATCTAATATATATTTGTAAACGGATGTGTATACAGATAATAGATAAATGTCTTTAAAAATTATCGGTTAAAAAAATTATTGAAATTAGTTTTTAGTAATTCAACAGTCAGTCACTCGCATCAATATCTTTAAAATAGTAAAAATATTCAGTGAATCATAATAATTTAAAAAGGATGTCTAAACAACATTATCTATGAAGATGACCTCTTTATAATGTGTCTTTATGACATCTTTTAGGCATATTGTCTGGGTGTCCAATGCCAGTTTATTTTTCATTTAGTAAACAATTTCAGCAACAATTTATTTAGTGTATTTATTGTATTTCGCAAACTCATAAAGTATCTCCACAAAAAGTATTCTATCGAATATATTATCCTTTATATGTTTAAATAGATCTTCATGATCGTTAATGTATCTCATTACTATTTATAACTTAACAGAAATTTTTACACGCAGCATCAAAACATTTTTATATTTGTTACAAAGAGAGGGGGGAGGGAGAGAAAGAGAGATTAACTCTAACGTCCCATAACGGTACATGGAGACGGTAAAACACGCAAGCGGCTTTAGAAGGCAGGTTAGCGGTACGTAAATACGCGTTTACGCACTTACGTGCAGTGCGCTCGTGTACTACGCCAATGATGGACAAGAGGTCTCTTTTTCTTTTCCCCTATCGTCATCGTCGTCGTCTGCGACTGACCCAGTTACACGGCGATGCTTCCGTCTTTCCATCGCTTCGTCGGAAGGGGAGAAAATACGCGTACCGTTATCACAGCGTTTTATAATCATGTCGTCGTCGTTGTCATCAACGACAATGATGATGATGACAATGCATCGACTTGTTTCGCGAATCATTGCGCGACTCGGTAAAATCACGTCAACAGTTATCAGCATCATCGATTATTTTTATTATGGAAATTTCATACGTTTGATTTTTTGAATCTTTAAGATTTTCTTGGTTTTTGTGCATCTAAATGTTTTCGAAAAAAGATTATTTACTCCATTCGCATACAAAAACGTTAATTCTACGACGCTTAAGCCTTGACGCACATTTTCGTAATGTTGACGTTACCTTGGGCTTAAGGTAAAATATAGAATATTGAATATCAAATAACAAAGGCATGAAAGGTATCTTGATACTGTTGTATTAACCCTTTTGGTAGGCCAGGCACAAAACAGTGCTCATCACCTGAAATCCGCCGTCGATTTTTTCATCTACTTAAAATGATTCAAAAATTTCTAAAAATTCACAAACATACTTTCAACTTTTTAGAGCAAATGTTTAAATTTCATTTTGAAAAATAATAAAATATAGTATATGATTCATTCGAACTTGCGAAAAATTTATACAAACAAAAATCGATCAGACACAAAAAATACCCCTCGTTTCTCGATTTCATAAATTTTCAAAGAATATTTTCGTGGGCAAATATGTGAAACTCATTCATTTACTTCCCAATGATTGTGAGATCATTTCCAGTTTTCGACGAGAATAAGTAATCGCGTTCGTTCGCGATCTTTGCTAATTCCCAATTTCTGACCAATTCTACACTTTCGCGTGAAAATTGTTAATCCGCCGCTCCACTGAGATTAGCTGATAGTCACGATCATCTGTTTTCTTGTAGAAAGTCTTTCTTATAATAGATCTTAATAGATCGTGTACACGCACCTCAAGAAAGCCGATTAGAATGAGCGTGTCAAGACTCGGAGATCGATTTTCATACATCTATAAGACAAGTGCATTAGAAATTGTATCGTTAATTAACTTGCAACATTTCATTTAAAGCTTTTATGACTTACATCGGATTTTCCGCTCTGCGTCATACATAAAGGAATAACTGTTTTCTAGAAATGACCGCGTTTGAGTCACTTCGCGCGCGTACCCGGAAATGATCACCAAAAGCGAGGATTCGTTACGCTACTGAAAGATGTCGCGTCGAGTACTTCCCCGCGCGCTTACAAAGATGGCCATCGCGCCAAGCTGGTCGCATCCAAGGAATTCAGTGACCGCCGCACTTGTTGCTAAACCGATCGTTCGTGTCGGAGACTTTTCGATTCTTAGACTCTCCGAGAACGACGGCGTGCCAACGCGGCCACGAAAACAATTATGATCGTTTCTCGAAAGTAAAGCTTCAGTCAAGCCTCTTCGAGCGATTTAACTATAAATCATAAACGACTTTTACACGCGCGAGATTTATATTCTGTCCACTGACTGTCGGCAAGCGGGATCGAATAAAATACGAGAACTGCCTAAATTCTGAGACTATGCCAAAACAAAATATAATTTATATATAAAGATTTATATATTTATGCGAGATTCTAAATGCAAAATAAAGTTAAATAAGTAAATCTAGCGCGTTTCGATCATTCAGAAAATGAGGTGCCTTACCAAATCAAGTCTCGTATTTTGATGTTAATTTGACGAATAAAAAGATGCGATTGAAAGTCGAAGATTATATCACAAAAATCCGTAGTAGAGTATTGTTGTGCGATCTTAGGAAGGAGGATTTACTCATTCTTGCAGAATATGACACGATAATGAGAGAAAGTAGAGAGAAAAATCATCTAGTTTTTGTATAATATATCGTCGGAATAATCTCAAGCCACGAAGATTATACAATGATCGAATAGTTTACAAAAAAGTGACGGAATTTTGTATAACGTATTTAAATATGAATATGTCTGTATAAATAAAATTAAAAATTAAATTATAATAAAAATATTTAATGAGAATATAATGAAACAAATGAAAATTATAAATTTGTCTCATAAATCCTCGCGTCTTAATCTGAGTGAAAAAAATGCCACGCAAAACGATTTGTGAGAAAGCATCAATTAATCCAAATTTTATAATTAATCTTTTTCAAATAGAATCAAAGAGGATTGGAACGGAATAACGAAATTAGCAAAAATGTTTGATTAGATAAGTAGTCCTATGAGAAAAGAGAGAAAGAGAGAGAGAGAGAGAGGGAGGAGGGGGAGAAGAAAGGGACGCTGTACACCGAGAAGCGATTTTACGGTCGAAGTATGCCTAGACTAACTTTCTCCGCGGGGGAAAAACCGTCATGGATACGCGTTACCTAACCTGACGCGCCAAGTCCGCTTTGCAAGCGCAAACTCTGCCTCCCCCCCCCTTCTCCAAAGTTTTTCCTCATCCTTTCCCTTCACGACCATCGCCCATCCAACTTTCCCCTCTCCTCCAGTCATTTATTTACATATGCTATCACATTGTAGTCATCCTGCCGATCTCGCGTACATTCCTCTTCGTCACTACTGTTCTTGTTAATCTCGCTTTAATCCTATAAATTATCTTAATGCAATAGATGAATTTAAAAGATAAATTAAATCTCCAAAATTTATCGGTAATGACGTACAGAAGAAGAAATTCTTTCTTTAAAGGCGTTCTGATTAAACTTAAACGTTTAGAGATTATATAACTATCATACTTTGCGTCGCAATAAGATCTTTACTTAAGTCTTTACTTAAAGTTGCTTCAATTGGCAGACAGAGGATAAACGGAATTTTGTTTTGGAATTTTATAATCCGGGTTACGTTAAATAGATTCCAATTATAAAAAATTTGTATTACATCGATATGTTTTTTACGACGTTTCGATCATGAATTGCGATTAACATTGCTTAAAACATAAATAATGAAATTAATGAAATCAAGTTGTACACGTAATTTTTAGAACTAACTTTTAAATATCCAAAAGATAATTCGCACAGCTATTACTAACGCAATGTATAATAATGATATCGAGTTGTTAAACTATTGATTGTTCAAAGAACAATACGTGAAAAAATGTGATTCCCGACCACATTTCATCAAGGAAGAAGCGTGTCGTGTCACGCTGGATATTTATCATCGTCGCGTAGTCTTTGGCAATTAAACAAAGTTCAGAACTCGAGTAAATTTAGATTCCCTTATATACACGCCTTCTTATTGAGCCATCGAAAGAGAATATAGCAAATTAACGATATTAATCTTCCAAACAAAAATGCGTTGAATATTCAGAAATAATATCTCATATTCTCGAGTTTTATTACTCACGTATTTATTATGAAAAATAGAAAAGATATATTAGGTGTGGGAAAAAGTTCGTAGCGTTTTTTTAATGCCATCTAATGGGAAAAACGCCACGAACTTTTTCCCATATCTAATATTATATACGCACTTTCTAAAACTTTTAAAGTCTCACTTTTAAAATCTCACTCTGAAGAATGAAATCTCACTTTTAAAGATTGAAAATTGAGCCACTATTTTTCAAGACTGATTTAATTTTCACTCTTTGGATTAAGATTCCATTCCAAAAAATTTGGAGAACAATTAAATAAATGAATAATAATAACAAACTTTATTGACGTGCAAGATATATAAATTATAAGTGTAAATAGAGCAGCACTTGAAAAAGCAATAATATTATTCGTGAGTCTTATAGTTATTAGATCTTATTATATTTAATTAATAGATGAATTCAAATATATATTTGATAAACTTATAATTATAAAAAATGAAAAATGAATCCAATTGTATCTTCATTGAAGTTAAACGGAGCAAAATCTATACAGGAACGAAATGCGACATTAATATACCTATTTTCTAATAGTTTGTGTACTACGGAATCGAATTGTTTTAAGCAATATCTCTATGTATTCGTGGTATAAATAACACTCTGGTCATACCACTTGCCAAAAGTTAATGGCGATTTAGTAACAATGTCGATTTAGTCACAACTGTTTGAAAGCGGCAG